TCCTTAATTGGAAGACAGGAAACCTCAGTGGAATACATGGCACTGGCCCTAAATTAATCTATCATCTACTTCTTCCTTCACCAGTCATTTCCTCTCTCTCATTCCTTCCCCAGGACCCAGGAGGAAGATCAGCTGGCAAGTCCAGCTCTTAGGCTCCTCTGCCTATTTCTGTGGGCGGCCCAAAGCTCTTCTGTCAAATCTAGGCATAAAACCTCCGAGTGGTTTGCGCTCCAGTTTCCTCGGTCCCAGAGCTAGTTAGTGATGCCACTCTGAATGCTCCCTAATGTCTTTCTCCTCTGTTCCGTTCTTTCTGTCCACAGTGCTCAGGTTTTTGCTACCTTGATCCACTGGAAGAGGTTCTATACCCGTTGTTCCAAATTTTGATGTGTCCTAAGTAACATAACTCTATCCAGTTTATTCCCCCACTTGTAACTGCTCAGTGCTTCCCTACAGTATTTCAAGTGCTATGCAGGCTCTTTATCCCACAAGATCTTGCTCCAAATTATGTTGGAGTCTTACCTCCTGCTTTTGGCTGCACGTCCCATCAGCCTACCTACATCTGCTTTTCCACTGGAAATGTCTCACATCCTTGCAATTGATGTTCACTGGCACTTGTTGTAAACTTACAAATTGTCATTGCTTAGAATGAATTTGGCTGAATTAAGAGTAGTTAAGTGTCTGGCTCGAAGCAATCTAACAGTTGGATTTTTTTACTGGTCATCTTTTATCCTAAGGTGATACTGCTATTTTTAAAAGTTTTTAAAGGTTAAGAATGAAGGGAACCTGGCTGGTGTGGCTCAGTGGTTGAGCATTGACCTCTGACGCAGGAGATCGAGGTTCAATTCCCGGGCTGCGGGCTCGATCCCCAATAAGGGGTGTGCAGGAGACAGCCAATCAATCACTTTCTCATCATTGATGTTTCTCTCTCTCTCTCTCCCTCTCCCTTCCTCTCTCTGAAATCAATAAAGATATATTAAAAAAAAAAAAAGAATGAGGGGAAAGATATTTTTCTTAAAAATGAGAAAATTTACTTGTTACACTTAATGATTTTTTGGTATGGAATATTTTGGGCAAGCAGCACCTATACTGGGTAGAGGCATAATTATGCAACTCTACTGACTAAACCTTGATTTTTTTTAACAGGGACAAAAGGGGGTGGGCAAAAAATCTTAATTCAGATATACACCATTACTATTTCATCTGTCAGAATATTATCCCTTTTTAACATACTGTGTTTTCTTTTTCAAGACCCCATGCTGTCAAGAAACTTTGACACCTAACTAAAGACTCACTCTGTGGGATTCCTGTAGCCTCCATCCCATCCACAAATGTTTATTTTATTCCTATTACACACCCCAGGTACTCTGCTGGGAGCCGAGGTTATCAAAATGCATAGAACTCTCCCTGATTACAGGGGTTTACTATCATAATACAGGTTCTTAAAACAGAGTACAATGCCAGGAAAGAGGGAAAGAGTGAGGACTTAATGACTGCAAGGTCAAGGGAGTCCTTCCAGGAGGATGAGTATGAGAAGGGCGGAGGCCATGGCATGTCCGGGAACGGGGAGCTGCCCGGTCTGGCCGGAGCGCAGGGGGCACGGGAGAAATGGGAGTGGAGGAGATGAGCCTGGAAGAGCAGCTTGGGGCCAGGAAGAGGGTGGGCTTGAAAATCAGGCCAAGGAGTTTGGACTTCATCCAATATGTAAAGGAAAGACATTTGAGGTATTTTAAACATCAAGGTAAAATTTTGAGACCCGTGTTTTCAAAAAATAACTTTGGTGGTATGATGAAGGGTGTATTGGTAGGAAAGATGGAAATTAGAGATAATTAGGTTAACATTCTGAATGGACCCAAAGGCATCTTGTATTTCCCTTTGGACATTTGATACAGTACTTTATGTAGAGTTATCTGTCCATATACCTTTCCTATTAATAATGCTTCCTGCCCAGCCAGGCGTGGCTCAGCGGTTGAGCATCGACCTAGGATCCAGGCGATCGGGGTTTGATTCCCAGTCAGGGCACATGCCCGGGTTGCGGGCTCGATCCCCAGTTGGGGGTGTGCAGGAGGCGGCCGATCAATGACTCTCTCATCACTGATGTTTCTATCTCTCTCTCCCCACTTTCCTCTCTCTGAAATCAATAAAATATATATTAAAATAATAATAATAATGCTTCCTAAAGTTGAGCCTCCTCTCTTAAACACTCAGGAACTCTGGAAGGTTTCATTTTATAGCACTAACTACTCAGTAGTTGCAGTCTTCTCTCTCTAATCTTTTCCAGATGTTAGAGCAGATAAGGCATTAACAAACATTAAAACACATTAACAATGTACATATTTAAACTTGTAATAGAGTTCATAGGTGCCATTTTGAGTTTATACCATGCTCTATGTACTATGCCAGGCATACACATTACCTCCCTTAATATTTTCAGTAAGTGGTATTACACCTGTTTTATGGATATGCTGAGGCTCAGGCAATTTAACCTGCCAGGATGACATAGTGAAGATGTCTTGACCCCTCCGTGATAGCCACCTTGGTCTGTTTTCTGTACCTTGAGCTTGTTTCTTGATCAGAAAAAGAAACTTCCTTTTGCAGTTACCTCTCCCTGGAATGCTCTCCTCCCAGACGTTCACAGAACTAACCTCTTCAGCATTTAGCTAAGATTTGACCTCATCACGGAAGCCTTCAATGATCATTCTATCTAATGCCGCTCATTTCTCTATGTTTCCTTCTTCATAGTGTATCACTGTCTGAAATGCTTTACTTGTTTTTTCCTTTCCCCTAAGCTAGAGTATAAATTTCATGAGACCAAATGCTTTGAATATCTTACACACTTTTGATATATATAATCACAGCATTTCAGAACAGTTTCTAGAACTTAATACAAATTCAACAAATGTTGACTCAAGGGATGGGTGACTGAGTGATCAAATGTCTCCAGAGCCCATGCTGCTGCTGGCCGGTGCTCCCGAGATGCTTTTTCCGCTCCCCAGCACACTGGAGGGGCACTGGCTGCCCATATAACCCATCCGATTGTGTATCCAGGACCCAGACTGATGAACTTTTAAAACCAAATATTTATAGGAAAAGAAACCCACAGATCATTCTCTTTCTCATTAGTTAAGGTTTCTCAATTATATCTAAGCTTTATAGTTCATATGTAGTATCTACTATGTATGATTAAAGTGAACATTTCTGATAAATTATTTAGAATTTCACCTTTTATCATTGCATTTCTTTTTTTCTTTTTTTTAATATATCTTTATTGATTTCAGAGAGAGGAAAGGAGAGGGAGAGAGAGAGATAGAAACATCAATGATGAGTCATTGATCGGCTGCCTCCTGCGCGCCCCCAACTGGGGATCAAGCCCGCCACCCGGGCATGTGACCTGAACGGGAATCGAACCCCGATTGCCTGGAGCCTCGGTCAACGCTCAACTGCTGAGCCATGCCTGGCCGGGCTATCATTGCATTTCTGTTGACTGATTTTTGTAGGAGAATATTGGGATTTACATAAAATAGACATTATTCCTGATCAGTTTATTTTTTAAAGCAGCAGACATGATAAAGTACCTGGCCTACTAGTAAATCAGTGAATTCATATTATCTCCATGTACAAAATAACAGTCCTGGGAAGGTAAATTCTTTCATTGCTTTTTCCTCCCCTCAAACCACATTTTTCTTTTGTGGTTTCAGATTGGCTTTTTCAGAAGGGTAATTTTTCTTTTGTCTTGGTGGAATTGGAGATGACTGACTTCTTCACCAGCAGGCTAACCTCTTCTTTTCTCACTACCCCATGTACCTAGGAATAGCTTGCTGATTAACTCCTAAGTTAAAGAAGGTGGTCTGTGAAGGAATTTTAAGTACATTTCTTGGTGTTCTGTGAAGTTACATGATCTTAGCTGAGTTAATTAACTTTGTTAAAATTGTATGAAGGGGTTCATATGATTCTAAACTACAGAAAAAGCAAAACATTTTGCAAGCAGCCTGCCCTTTACCTTGATCCCTACCTTTTCTGAAAACCATGGTGTAATGCCAGTGAACAGAATAATGGTTGACGAGCAGCATTTTAAGGCATTCTAAATATCACTGGTTGGTTTAATAAAATTAATTAGCCTGCCACAGAGAAAATTTACTAGCGTGCTGGTTAATTTCACAATGTAAAGTCAGAGAAGGGAGGTGGGGTTGAGGGAACAAACCTTATTAGTTTTGAATAATTATTTAAAGATGTGGAGCAGCCTATTTCAAACACTTTGATTGCCAAATCCATTAAGGCTTTAAATTCAATGTTTGTATCCTGGTATATAAGGGAAGGACTCTCTAGATGAAATCATAAGCATATTAGTTAATACCTCAGTGACTTCTTTAAGATACAGAACAACAAGTAGAATCCTAATAAAATCATGGGAACGAGAATTTGCCTTAAGACTGACTCTTGGGAGGTTTCCATAATCTTAATTTGCCATTGATGCAATTATTGCCTTTTCTTGTCTTTTTAATCCAAACAAGATGTTTGCAGTGGCCATGGAAAGGTGCCTGAAATCACATGCCTGAATTCATTTAATTTGCCAACATTGTCCTTTTTCTCTATTTCTTCCTGGTAATGGGCAAGAGTAAGTTCTGGTGCATTAGGTACTAAATCTCTTCAATTACCAGCCGAGGAGAAAGATTTAAAATTCTGCTTTAAACCTGCAAACTGATTTAGTTTTAAAGCACATAGACTTCTTCCGTGGAGCCTAAATTAAACTGCAGAAAGGACACTGAGCTTGAGGAACTGAGCCAGCGGGGGCCAAGGCTCAGGCCAGCAACAGCAACCAACCATTTTGGTTTCCTTCACTGGGGCCACTAGAGCCCAGGAAAGGGACAGAGACACCCTAAAAGATACAACTTGTGTGAGAAAGGGCAATATTACATTGCTTGGGAGCTAGATGTGGAATAAATGTGGGAGGAGTCTAATCAAAGCTGTTATTTTTCTCTCTCTCTTTTTTGGTTGTCCTGTAGCCATTTTCAACGTGGATGACTCTGTGGTTGATCTGGAGACCCTGGCGGCCTTATATGAAAATGTGAGTATCAAAGATACACAGAGCCAGAGTTTCCAGATTTCCATGTCTTTACTAACTAAAAAAAAAATATTAAGGTCTAAAAAAATGATTACATGTGACTCCTTTCTCCTGAAAAATCGCCAAGCCATTCATTCATGTTCTTTGGCGGTAAGGATTGTGATATAGCATGGATAAGATCAAGGCACAGACATGCAAGCTCAAATAAGAGCAGACATGAGAAAGGCACGAGGTTCCTCGCGCCCTTTGTGCTATCTGAGTTAGATCTCCTTGCACACCAGCAAGGGAGAGTGGCTCAAGGTGGAGATCACTTCTCTGCCGTGGATCTCAGCCTGTAGCTCGCCATCAGAGTCAGTGAAGGTAAACTACTGACTCAGTGTTGGTGTACACCAGTGTCTTCATCTAAGGAATGGAAATGCTAATAAACCAGCTTGGACAATTACTTTTAGTATACATTAGCTGATGGTGTTGAATGTGGGAGAGGCAAGGGATGGCCGGTGTATGTTCTGGATTTAGAGTCAACAGGTCCAGCTCTATCATTGACTGCTGAGCAACTTTGGGCCAGTTAAACTCCTTAAGCCTGCCTGCTTATCAGCACAATAGGAATTCTAATGGGCTCTACCTGATTTTTTATAAGTATTAAAAGATAATTCAATATATGTAGCAGTAGTAGTGTATTTTGAAAATAAACAGCACTGTACACATATATGGTCTTTAAATTAGGGTTATATGTGGAAATAATGAGCACAGTTGCAGACGCATTTTTACATTCTTTACATCTATATATTAGGAGTTGTCTAGTTCTATTGGGTGGGAATTTCTCACGTTTCCATCAGTAAGGCTTTCATTAATAGACAAGAAGGTGCACAAATACCAGGCCATCGGGAGCTGAACTGCATTTGTTGAGCACCTGCAGGGCTGTGTGGTATCGTGGGAGAAGGAGATTCTGAGCCAGGCCCTCTGCCAGGTACTTGGTGGCCTCGGTGGAATCATCTGTGTAATGAAGATGCAATAATTGATATTGAAGGACTTTGTAAGAGGCAAGGTGCCCCCTGGATGCTTCTTGTTATTATCATGGGCTCAGGACTGTGTGCACAGCCAGTACTTGTTAGCTCACAGTAGAGGTAAGCTGCATACAACTGAAATCGTTGAATAAGTTGAGAAAGTATGCGACTAAGTGCCCAAATAAGCAGTACAGACAAGGAATGCCTACAAAATTTAGAAAAAGAAAAGATGGTGACTAGAAATAAACAAGTCAGGAGCCTACATAAGCTAGGAGGGCTGTTGAGGGCTCAGGAAGCAAATGCTAAGGACAACTTGACCCATATCTGCTTACGGGCAACTAAAGAGAGGATTCAAAGGTAGCAACCCCATGTCCTGGCTTCTTGTCTAGCTAATGTCACTTGTGACTGTTTGTATTAGCCAGGAATTCTCAAACATCAGCAATGCACCAGAATCACTTGTGGGGCTTGCTGGGTCCCACCTCTGGGGTTTCTTAAGTCTGAGGGAGGGCCAAAATTTTGCATTTCTAACTAGTGACAGGTGATACTGACGCTGCTAGTCCAGAGACACACTTTGAAGCACATTCCTTTAGACCAGCGATTTGCAACCAGTGTGCCACAGCACCCTGGTGTGCTGCAAGAATTCTTAAAACACGCAACATCTCACTATTTAGTCAGGGGCACTGACCTCTTTCCCCTTAGATTGTCAAATAAAAAAATGACAACAGCCAACACAATAGCCATCCAGTGTAAATGAATCAATATTATACCTATTTTTTTTGTCAGAGAGGCAAAAAATACATTTTTTGGTGTGCCACAGATTTTTAGTAATTCATTTAATGTGTGCCATGAGATAAAAAGGTTGAAAATCACTTCTTTAGACAGATTCTCATTGCTCATTGTTTTGTGTTTTGTTTTGATTCGTTTTGAACACAGAGAGCCCAAGAAGATGAATTGGTTAAAATAAGAAAGTATTATGAGACATCCAAAGAAGAAGAATTGAAGCTGCTGGATAAACCTGAGCAGTAAGGATGCTTGAACCCATTTCCGTTGGGCCACAAGTACAGCCTCTATCTCTTTGCCTCCCAGCTCTGAACAATCACCTCTAAATTGTGCAGTGAGCTAAGTCTCAGCCCCACCATTGCTCTGACCTATTGCGTGTAGCAGAATGACATGACTGCTGGGAAAAGCAGCTGGGAGATTTGTGCTTCTGGATAGAATATTTCTCAACTGCCTCTCCCCATCCCTCCTGACTCCCCTTTTTTTGTTCTAGCAACTTATTAGTTCCTCCTAGACTAAACATTCTGCCCAACTGAGGAAGGAAGAAATCATTGCTTTGTTTAAGGTTCTGCTGATGCAGTTAAAAAGATATGTCAGAGCACAGCACTGAAATTGATTCTAAGTGTCATATCCGGTAAATGTAGCCTAAATGTGCCAGCTTTTCCCCAGATTTCGCCACCTGCTCTTCCCAATTTAGATGTGACATTTTCATCTTCTCTTGGTGTGTGCTCTTCTCTCCATTCGCTATCAAGAGTTGTTTGCTCTATACTTTGGGGTATTGGTCCACACCCTTTGAAAACCTGGAACTCCAATGTGTAACTGAGTGACTCTTGTCCTTGGCTGGATTCTTAGGGTTTGCAAACCACAGATTAGCTTCTGGGGCTCTGCAGTCCCTAGGCCTCACTCAGGACTCATGGCCCAGGACTCTGAGAATGTGGAATGGGTCCAGAGCAGACAAAGGGCTCCTTTGCCTATTGCTGTCTTGAGTGCTTCATGTCCAATTCAGGCCACCCCTCTCAGCCTTGACTTGAGGCAAGGGTAGGAAAGAGAAAGCTGAGTGATCAGTCAGGGTAACAAGTCAGCCCTAGAGACTTTTGAGGTTCTGTGGCTTGTACAGAAAGCTTCCTGCCTTGCCCTTGGGTCCTCTAGAATGCACCTCTCCCCTTGGGATGCCCAGGCATTCCAGTCCAGAAAAAAATCTCTAAATGGCTGAGTGGGAGATCTCTCGGTTTACTCACTAACAAACCTTCATGATAATTTTGGAAACCTTAGGTGAATTGTTCTCACATGCAGCATAGGTTAGGACCCCCTGCCCCCCTTAGTTAGTGCATGAAGCCTAGGAATACTGTGAATCAATGCAAATTCTCTTCCACCAGCTTAAGCCATCCTCATACCAACCCCCATCCCGATGGATTCTGTGGTCCACCCCCAAGGCATGTTTCCCAATACAATAAATTCCTACTAACGAGCTAATCACTGAAAAGTTAAGTGACTAATAATGGAATATTTGGACACTGACAAAGCCATTGGGGAGTATTTGAAGACTGTCTTAGTCAGCTTGGGCTGCTATTACAAAATACCCTAAACCGGTTGACTGATCAACAATAGGAATTTATTTCTCACAGTTCTAGAGGCTGGAAGTCTAAGATCAGGGTGCCAGGATGGTCGGGTTCTGGTGAGAGCTCTCTTCTAGGTTGCAGACTGCTGACTTCTCTTTGTGTCCTCACATGGCTGAAAGTAAAGAGAGGAAGCAAGCTCTGTGTGTCTCTGGGCACTAACCCCACCGTGATGGTTCCACCCTTGTGACCTACCTCCTAATACCATCACATTGGGGTTAGGATTTCAACATGTGAATTGGGGGCAGAGGCACAAACATTTAGTCCTTAAAAGGCACAATAGGGCATATCAAGCATTTGGGTAGTGTCAACTATGCCACTTGAGCAATGACACTCTAAGCCTATCACTGGCAAACTTTTCCTGTAGAGGACCAGATGGTAGGTATTTTAGGCTTTATGGACCATACAGTCTGTTGGAACTACTTAAGTCTGCTGTTGTAGTGCAAAAGCAACCACAGATAATACATAAACAAATGGGTGTGACTGTGTCCCAGTAAAGTTTTATTTATGGGCACTGAAATTCGAAGTTCATTTTACATGTCATGAAATGTTATCCTTCTACTGATGTTTTTCACCTATTTAAAAACGTTAAAACCATTCTCAGTTGATGGGCCATACAAAACAGGTGTGGGCTGAATCTGGCCTGTGGGCGACAATTTGCAACACCTGCTCTAAGCTATGGGCATGGCCAAGCCGGTGAAATGAAATGAACAGTGGGTTTCTGCTACTGTAAGTGTTCCTCTTTTCCTTTTGTGTTAATGCCTTTCTAGCATTAGTTTTCAAGGTTAATTGTCAGGACACAGAATAATGGTGGCAGGTAATTAACATGTAATTTATTTTTTTTGAGGTTTTCTTATCGACTGTTATAGAGGAAGGGAGAGAGAGAAGCGTTGATGTGAGGGACACATAGATTGTCTGCCTCCTGCACACCTCCATTGGGGATTCCCTGGCATGTGCCCTGACCTGGAATTGAACCAGCGACCCCTCAGTTCCTGGAAGGATGCCCAACCAACTGAGCCACACCAGCCAGGGCTACATATAACTTATTATTCCTGCTTTCTCTACTGATGATCTGGATAGAAGCCCATTTTTAAAGTTTTTAAATAGTCATTGTAACAGTTTCCTGTAACATGCTAAGTTGTGACTGAGTGAAGAGGCCTGTGTGTTGCCCTGGTGAGGTGATGTGCCTGGGCTCAGTTGCTGGAGGGGGAGATACAGAGAGATGGGGACTTCGGGCCCAAGTGAATTTCACCTTTGCTTTCAATCTCCTGCACAGTACATTTATTTAGTCTATGCGAGAGTCTGATTTTCTGGCAACTTATTTGCCATTAGCTCCAAGTTAGTTGACTATACGCATGTTTTATATACTGGAAAATATGAAGTCTCAGCATTACAATTTCCTCAAAACCCTGTGGTGCCAGTCCTATAAATCATAGCATGGAGAGGCTGGCCTCATCACTCACCTCATCAGCTTTTTCACACCCCAGTGCCAGGTTTAGAAAGCCGTTTCCCATAAAGATGTCATCCGCCTGGGACCAGGCTGTCTGGGAACCAGTCCCTTTAGAGATGGCCCTAGACTCTTTGCACTCCGCCTTGGTATAGTGGTGAAGTGAGGCTCTGTTGGGTTTGATTAGGTCTGACACAAGCTTTTTATGGCCTAGAGTGAGGACACCATATACAGGTTATTGGGATGCTCCACTAGGGCCCACAGCTGCCTTGGGGCTTCCATGAGGAAGACACATTGACTTCTGAAACAGGCTCTGTGGGTGTAGTCCTCTATGGAAGAACACAGGTTACCACGTGAAATGATATTGTGTGCACAGCCCCTGTGTTCACACACACCTACGATAGTACCATTTGAAGGGTTAGGGCATGATAAACCAAATGTGAGTCCCTTAAAACCAGTGGGCCACATTGTGTCGTTCCACCTGTCAGCTGAGTTCCACTGTGGATGAGTAACCCACACAATGTGAGGTGTGGCACTTCCCTCCTATATACAGGCTGAACTGTAGCCCTTCCTGGGAAAATAAACCTTCTGGGGGAAAGAAAAGAAAGATCCCTACTTTGTGGCTTCTTTGGGGGGTATTTAGTCCTATCTGTTACTGGCCCTAGGTTATAAAGTTAGACTAGTCCAAAGGAAATCAATCTATAAATATTCTTAAGTACCAAGGCCCAAAGTCCAAAACCAAGGGTTCTTTTGGGTGGCAAATAAAACACAGTTGGAGGATGAGAGACTTGTCAGACACTTGCTTCATAGCCTTTAAGGTTGCCTGTTTCTGATATTTTCCCAGATAAATGGGAAAGGAGTCTGATACTCTGCCTAAAGGCTTTGCGTGCCTATTTTTGGACATAATGTGACTTAAACTCCTTTTTTAGAAAATATTTTTATTGCTTTTTTTAGAAAGAGAGGAAGGGGGGAGGGGGAGAGAGAAACATCAATGTGAGAAAAAAACATCAGTCAGCTGCCCCCTGCATGCCCCCTACCCAGGGATCAAGCCTGCAACCCGGGCGTGTGCCTTTACTGGGAATTGAACCGGCAACCTTTTTGTTGAACTGGACAACACCCAACCAACTGAGCCACACCAGCCAGGACTAAAATCATTTCCCCCCCCCAGATTTGCTTCTCCATTATATCTTCACATTCCACCAGGTGTCCAAGTCAAAAAGCTACAAGTCCTTCTGGTTGCTACTCAGAATCCTTTGAGCTTGGTCAGCTGCTCTGGTTCCTGCTGCCTTCCTAGCTTCCCCAGCTGTTTGCCCTCTCTGTTCACACTGCAGCCTCTTGCCATCCCTCTTAGAATATTGCAACTGCGGTTGTAGAGGTCTCCCAGCCTGAAATCTGCTGTCACCTCCAATCAATCAGCCAAGCCACAGCCATGGTGATTTTCTAAAGCAAAAAGTGGAAGGGATCACGCCTCTGTTTGAAGCCCTTCATTCATTTAGAAAAAGTATGAACTCTTTATACCAGGCCCTATTTTAGCATCTGACTCTTAACTTACCTCTCCTGCAAATATCATTCAAGCCCTCTAGGCCCGCCTGGCAGTTTCTCACGTGTGTCCTGCACAGCACCAGAGAGCTGCAGGAAGCCTTGGCTGACATGGTTCCTCCAGGGCTCTGACTTCGTGCCCTGCCTGTGGCTTCCGCAGCTCCTGTTATAGGCCCCATCACTGATAGCACTTGCCACACTCCACGGTAATGTTGATTTATTTCTCAGGTTATCAAGAAGGAACTGTGTATAAGTGAAATTCTGTCCTCGGGTCTTAGCATGGTGCCTGACACACTGTAAATGCTTTTTACATGACTGAGGACTGACCAAAATCAGTTCTGGTGACTGAAGTTCTGGTATCAGTTTTCCCTAACACATTCTCTACAGTTCCATCCAAAAGTAATGTAAAATTCCTGAGCCTCCCTTCCCCCTCCAACTGTGGATATGTTTCAGACCCTTCTCCATGCACAGGACACTGGCCCTAGGGTTCTGTCAGCCTCCCTACTGCAGGCCCTGAGCCCAGGGAGCCTTGATCCCAGAGAGCCCTGCAGCTCTGTTTTGCTCTTTCCTGGATAACATAAGTTGGTGAGCCTATGGACCTGTCTCCTCATACTGATCTAGAACCTCCTGCTTTGAGACTCATCATAAGTGATTGTTAATCCAGCAGTTCCTCCTTTCCATCTGTGTCCTTGCTGAGTTGAGGTGTGAGTCATATATTCTCTCACAGCCTCTGTAAATGCTTCACTCTGTGTTCATTTACTCTAGGAAGTGTGTATATTCTGGGGACCTGGGTCCTTTGGGGAATAGAGTCTCATGGTCACATTTGGAAGAGAAGAAATGCGAAGCACTCCCCTTAAGGTAGCTTTCAGCAGTGTCTGAGTAAACAAACTCCCGGAGACTCACCACAGGACCAAATGCCCCCATCCCACAAGCTTTTGACTGCTCATATTTGCGAAAACTGGTGATACCCCTGATTCCAGTCATAAATGAACCAATGGTTTAATACTAATTTTATGAAGAAACAATTTACGTAAAAATGTAATGTTTTCGTCTTGTCCTAATTCAGAATTCCTATGGGTTTCCACTTTTATATCCCATTACATGGTTTTCATAATAATCTGTTACAGAACTTTAAAACAAAGGTGTGGTTTCTTTATGGGTATTCTTGCTTCATCTCAGTGTCATTAAAAAAAAAAAAAAATAGAAGAGCCCTGACCGGCATGGTTCAGTTGGTTGAGTGTCATCCCACGCACTGAGGGGTCACCATCTGATTCCTGGTCAGGGCACATGCTGGGGTTGCGGGCTCAGTCCCTGGCGGGGGTTGGAGGGAGTAGCCTATTGATGTCTCACCCTTGCATGGTGATGTTTCCATCTCTCTCTAAAAATAAAAAATATTTTTTTAAAAAAGAAGAGTTGGCTTAGAAGATTAAGGGAGGAAATCCACTCAAGAAAATAATTTTTAAAAAATAAAAAAGAAGATATCACCTGGTTGTGGGATACGTAAGAAAAACAGCTGGTAATTAGAATCTTAACACCCAGAGCTCCCTAAAATAAAGTAAAAGAGGCACAGAGTATCAGCTAAGGGAATTTCTTTGGTGTGGAAAGGAGGAGGTCTAGCTTTGCTCCTGTGTAAAAGCATTCTTGGGGAGAAATTGCAAAATGTCAAAGCAATGATGTTATGAGTTGACCGAGACTTTCAGAAATATCAGGTAATAATCATTTCAACCCCAAAATGAATTTAATTGCTGTTAGTGGATTCTCTCCTTTTCTGAATTCATGTCCAACTCTTTCCACCCGTTTTAGTTTTATACCCCGTCCTCGGCTGGTTGGCCTGGAGAGTATGCAGCTCTTCCAACATAATTTTGCAAAAGGCACCAGTGCCCAACTACTCAGACAGTGAGCTTTTGTGTGTAGTTAGTACTCACCTTTAGCTTTTAAGATCTGTCTTGCCATAGTTTTTAAGAAGCTTTAGATTATGTCCACTTAATGAGTGCCTGCTTTGTTCCAAACATTGAGCTCTGTTTATATAGGTAAGTTAATGTGGAAAAGTAAACAAATATCGGTAGAATAGGAACATTATTGACTATTATCTAATTCATTGAGCAAAAAGTAGTAGTAATCTCACTTCAGTAAGAAACTTTTTAATCACTTTCCACAGACATTTACCTTCAGTCCTCACTTTAATCAGCCTGTATAAACATATCCTTAGAGAATGATGCATTGTAAAGGGGGGTATATTGTGTATTCTTATGCACTAAAGATCAACACTTCCCATTTGGGTTTAGTCTCTTAATTGGGTAGCAGGAGATAGATAACTTGCGGTTCAGTGTAATTGCATTAACTTTCTGTTCCTAAAGTGATTTATATACCATGCATTTATTTGCCATCATAGAAACCCATAAAAAAAGTGGCTTTGTTGCCCGGCCAGTATGGCTCAGCAGTTGAGCATCAACCTGTGATCCAGGAGATCAGGGTTCCATTCCTGATTAGGACACATTCCCGGGTTTCGGGCTCAATCCCCAGTCGGGGGGTGCAGGAGGCAGCCGATCAATGACTCTCTCATCATTGATGTTTCTATCTCTCTCTCTCCCTCTCCCTTCCTGTCTCTGAAATCAATAAAGATATATTTGAAAAATAAATAAATAGAAATTTAAAAGTGGCTTTGTTGTCAACAGTAGGACACATCCCCTTGGAGTTGTGTAAGTCAGCCTGATACCTTTTATAATTGTTAAATTGACATTGTCAAATAAGGAATGCTCTCATGGCAGATCCTTTTCAGCTGTCATTTTTACTTTCCTTGTGATTTTCATATGAAGCTCGATGATTCCTTCTCACTTTTCACAGATTTTTACACGAGTTAGCCCAGATCCCTAATTTTGCTGAACGTGCCCAGTGCATCATCTTCAGATCTGTCTTTTCTGAAGGCATCACCTCCTTGCATCGAAAGGTAGAGATCATCACACGAGCTTCTAAGGTAGGTTTGCTGTCTGATTTAAAAAGACAACTTTGCCCTGAGTAGGGGTAAAGGAGGCAGTTGGGAGGGGGAGAGAGCAACTAGAGTCCCTTTGCCAAAACCTTTTGGATTTAAGAGTGTACGTTTTTCTAAGTATAGCAGTGATGATTGTCCTGCCTAAGTGTGAGTATGTGTGTGCATGCAGATGAGGTGGGGGAAGAGGGAGAGAAAAAAGGAGAGAAGGGAAAATATGACATTTTCACAGATTTCTTCTCAAATATGCCAAATGCCTTCCAATGCACATACTGGCCATTTAAATCCAACCCAAGTAGCGTAGTTTGTTTTTCACTCGACTGTCTGGATTGCAAGAGAGGTTTTGCTTCAGATCCATGAATCTGATTATCTGAAATGTGCTCCATAGTGAAATAAAAAGATGGTAGAGATTTGATAAAGGAAATAAATGATTATGATAATGAATGACAAGCAAATAAACTTTTGTTGGCTTCACCATGTTGGTATTCATTGTCAAGTTAAATTCTAGCTCTTGGCTTTTTCTCACAATGACCCTTGTACTTAAGAACGCGCTCCACAAATACTGTAGGATTTATTTGCTTATCTGAAGGATGGTTTTTTCCCCTTCTAAAATATAAAAGGCTTCAATAAGGAAAGCATAGATATTACCAAAGTATAATTTAATGTACCCTCTTATAGTGCCCTAAAAGCCAGGAGCAGAAGTCAGCCTTGAGCTGCATTTGGCTTTCTTTACCCTCAAATAAAATAAAATAAAGCCAACTAAGACTATGGAGAAAAGGGTCAGTATCCATTTGAAAGTTTGCACTTAAAGTGAAAAAAAAAAAAAAAAAGAGAGAGAGAGAGGAAAAACAAATGCAATGGGGAGCTGAAGAAAACCCTAAGCAGCTTGAAATTATAAAAGTCAATAGACATATCAGCAAACAATACACGTAGTCTCCAGCCTTGAACCACATGATTGTAGCTCACCTCTGGGGATTAGACTTACGACTAAGGAAGAATAGACTTGCTGTTATAACTACCCTAAACTTAACTCTACTCTTCGCACAGATAATAGTCCAAAAACAGATTCTCAAATGATATTAAACCCCTTTCTACCTACAAGTCATCAAATGTGAAGCCTAAGTATAACAACTCTCTTTTTTCAATTTATAAATACTTTCAAATAAGTATTTACAAAATAAAACTGGCCCAAATGGAAATATAAATACTAATATTAACCCTCAACGTTAAAACCTGCACCGTTTGTAATTCATTGAAAGGNGCTTGAAATTATAAAAGTCAATAGACATTATCAGCAAACAATACACGTAGTCTCCAGCCTTGAACCACATGATTGTAGCTCACCTCTGGGGATTAGACTTACGACTAAGGAAGAATAGACTTGCTGTTATAACTACCCTAAACTTAACTCTACTCTTCACACAGATAATAGTCCAAAAACAGATTCTCAAATGATATTAAACCCCTTTCTACCTACAAGTCATCAAATGTGAAGCCTAAGTATAACAACTCTCTTTTTTCAATTTATAAATACTTTCAAATAAGTATTTACAAAATAAAACTGGCCCAAATGGAAATATAAATACTAATATTAACCCTCAACGTTAAAACCTGCACCGTTTGTAATTCATTGAAAGGACAGAAAATGATGACTCTTAATGTATTTTTAAAAGACACTTATGGCTTAAAGTGCATCTCCCATTTTGTAACATGCCACCAGTCTGTTGGGTTCTCAATAAATATTTTTTGAATGAACGTAGGTATATTAGGAGTTCAGCTGCATGATAATTGGTGTTTTCCATCACAGGGCTTACTGCACATGAAGAGTGTGAAGGATATTTTAGCTCTCATTCTGGCTTTTGGGAATTACATGAATGGAGGAAATAGGACTCGGGGACAAGCAGATGGATACAGCTTAGAAATTCTGCCCAAACTCAAGGACGTCAAAAGTCGGGTATTTCTTTGTTTTGTAATGAATGTCTATGAACTGCCATTATCTTTCTTCTGCCCCTTTAATTTAAAAACTGCAAAAGTATTTCTGATTGCTCCATTTATCTCTGTCCTCTCCCTAACAATATATTTTCTTTTGCTTTCTTTTGACTTTTGAATAAAGATAGGTTGTCTATGTTTGATCTTATTCTGATGACAAAATCCCCAGTCTTCCTTTGCTCTAAAATACACAGTTAGATGCTGAACTGTAGTGAGAGAATAAAACAGATAGCATCTGATACTAGCCACAGCGCAAGCCTCGAATTTATTGCTGGCCGCTTGTAACCTCCTCATTCCTGCGAGTGGAGCGATGTTGAGTCACCAGTGCAGCCGAGCCTTTGGATTACCCTTTTGCCCACAACAATTGGGCCGGACAGCTACTGTCAAACGCCCTGAGCCTGATTATCATTTGGCTCCACACCCCTGCAGAGCCACCTCTTCAGAAACAGCCAGCCATACCTAGGCGACCTGTGGGGGGCAGCGGGAGTGGAGGGAGGGGAAGCGCAGGGGCAAATTAGAATTAGACCCATGTGACCAAGGCTCAAAGGCTGCCTTGTGGGAGGGCCTGCTCACTCCTGGCCTCCCAGGGTCATAAAGTGGCAGGCATTCCTTTTAAGCTGTCCCAATTGTTTTTCACACCATTAAGAACACACATCTTTTGAAAGGTGGGAAGGGAGGGATGGTTTTCTGTTCTAGTCCCTGGTTCCCTTTAGCACTCCCCTGCCCCCTCCTGTCTTGGCTTTATGCCAGAAAATATAGAGACAGCGTTTTGTTTATCTTGTTTGTTTTGTTTGTTTGTTTTAGCCATGACCTCAGAGGTTTTTATGAGTTATTTGGTTGTGTCTTTTTTTTTTTTACCCCACAAAGAGCAGTGTAGTGTCATTTCTTTGTATAAATGCCATTAAAAAAAATGGATGGGCTAAGGAGGAGAGAGGGAAATCTTGCCAGCCTCAGATAGAACAAGGACCAGGTAGCACAAATTAAAAGTATTAGGGTCACAAACTGAGATCTTGGCTCTCAGCTCTGTAATACTGCAGATTTTCATTTCGGCTTCTCTTTTAAACCTAGGATAATGGGATTAATCTGGTGGACTATGTTGTGAAATACTACCTGCGTTACTACGATCAGGTAAGAAATGTCCTTATGTGGAAAACTACACTAATGGGGTTTCAGCTCTTACACATTGTTGGCATTCAGAAATTGGATGATGGATGGATGGATGGATGGGTTTCAAGTCCAACATAGAATCTGAGAGCTAGCCAGCCTCCTTGGTTTACAGATGGAAACACTGAAGCCAAGAGAGTTTAGTTGACTCTTGTGAAGAGAAGCATTATTCAGTGGTACAAACTTACTGACTCTCAATCCACTGTATGACACAGCTACAGAGAGATCCCAGTTATCTTGGTGCCTCCTGACCAAATTGTCAGGGCCTTTGTGAAGTCTATATCCATTCAGTAACTGGTTATATTTGAAACTGGATTCTGGGATGCAGACCAAAATTTAGGAAATTAATATTCAGTAATGTCCCATACATTATCAGCAATGTTCATCTGCAAACAAGTTGAAGATGTGGAATCTGAAATCCCTTCTTTTTTCTTAAATTACATTTAGAAATAAAATTAGAAATAAAATTTTCTGTGAGAATCTACCTGAGCACAATTTTCTGTATTTTATTCCTTCTCATTAAATTGAGAACAGGAGTCCTAGCTTTGAGAAGAAAGAGGTACTGTTGTAAGTTGTTGGGAAATCTAGCAATCAATATGAATGGAAAAAGTCTCAGGAAAATGTTGTCAGGACTCCTGCTTAACTATCCATGTAAAGCAGTTTTCCCTAGGTACTGAGGGAAGAAAAGGAAAATGCCAGAGCCTTATTTTTAAAAGGCCTACAATTTCATCCAAAAGACAAGCTAAGCACCGATGAGGTTTATAGTTATCTCTCCCACCCTCCTGGTGGTTTTATCTACCTGTTCTCAATATATCTACAACCAGGATTCTCATCCCACCTCACCTCTCAACTTTTCCCGTTTGTATTAAGGATATTATAAATGTTTGGTCATTTAGACATGAAATTGTGCTTCTCTTTGATTGATCTCTGTCCTTCAAATTGTTTCTCATGTTTTTCCCTGTTTTTATCCCAACTGACCCCAGCTCACTCAGGCTTTAAGGTAACTCACCTAGGGAATTTTGGTTGCTTCCCAGCTGGCCTCCCCGCCTCTAGTTACTCCTGTTCTAGTTCATCCCACAGCCTGTGGCCTGATTACATTTTATAGTTCTGATCATTTTACATCACTTTTTTACTCAAAAACTAAAGGGTTCCCCCTTTTCAAGTAAATTAAGACTCTATCCAATTTAATTCCAGTTTTTTACAACCAAACTTTTATTACTTTCCCTCTACGAACATTCTGTGATTCAACTCAAGACTTGATATTTTCCAAACACACCCTGTGCTTTCTTACTGATGTATTTTTACATCTGATGTTCTCCCTAATTGGAACTGTCTTTGTCACTAGCCTTTTTATAAAACTTCTCTTTTTTCTTATGACTATCTTTTAAAATAATAAAGTAAAAGACCTTTGGGGGAAAAGCTTCGACTAACTTAACCAAATTTTTTATACCCCCCCCC